TCACATTAAAAGCAGGAGTTGTACACATATCATTCAAATCGCACATTTAACGGGAACAGTCTTACTTTGAGCCGTTCAGAGGGAGATGGGTGACTGGGATGAGGATGGAGTGGAGGATGAGAATGAAGAATAGGGTGGAGGCGATGTCGCCACGTGGTTTCTTTGTCCGGGCCGGCGGGAGTTATGAAGCCAGCGACGGCAGTCCAACTTTGGATCCAGGCGTGCACACTCAGTCCGGAATGAGTCACGTGCGCAGAGTCCAGAGCCAGGGCCGGCTGGTTATGAAGAGTTCATAAATCCCAACCAGAAAATAGGTTTGCTTGAAAGGGAAAGTCTCGATGCGGACGGGCACAGTCGTTGCTGGAGGCACGTACTTGTGCTGCCGCAGAGTCGATAGGGAGGTTGCGATGATGAATTCGGGAGAAACAAGAGGAAGTTTGTAGCATTGTGGGTGCTTATATTGACTTTCCCAGGGGAGGCGTGTCCGTGCCATCCTCCCTGTAAACAAAAACCCTTTACAACGGACATTTTGCAAAGGAAACACACAGGATTGATGCGAATGATCACAACACATGTACAAACACACAGTGCATTTACATCACAGACATTAAACACACGAGTAAGGTCCGTAACGTTAATGTCATTGAGTAATGTCCCTTTTGAGTGTCCGTCTCGGGTGCGGTAGCGTCCAGTGTCCGCTAGGGAGCGCCAGAGGGCCGCGGGTGGACCCCTTGGTCCGTGGAATGCATCCGTGGGTGACAATGCTGATTCGTGTCAGCTTCTCTGTTGACATGAACAAGGCACCAGATGGGTATCCCGCTGTTTTATTGGTCCGTCTGGCGTCTGTAATCCTCATGATGGATGCTGCTCCTGTGGCTGAACCCCATGGTTCCTTTGAAGTTCCCGGGGTTCGGGAGGGCATGTTATGAGAGGGCTGCTATTTCACGCTCGCCTGCATCTGTCCTTTTCCTCACCTTACACTTAACACAATATCTGCAATACAATGTGAACAATAAGTCCACATTTCCACGATGTTGATAAAGACGACATTGTGTGTAATTAATAGTTACTCAATGTAACTTAAGTTCTACGAATAGGTGCGTAGTCCCTTAGGACTTCGCTAGTGGGATATCACTCGTGACCCCCAGGTCACACGCCAGAGAGATCAAAATAATTTGCTCCAATCACCAGCCACCTTCCTCTATAAATGCCCCTGCACAAGGCCGCACCCCCTCTTGAACTCTGCCAAGCCGGGCTGGCCTGATGGGCTCGTAGCTAAGGGACTACGCACCTATTCGTAGAACTTAAGTTACATTAAGTAACTATTAATTCTACGTCATGGTGCTACGTCCCTTAGGACTTCGCTAGTGGGACACAACGCGGAGGCCGTAGGAAAATGTACTCCCAGCAGGCCAGCGAAGGGTGATTGGAGCTCCGCCCGAGCAAGACCCTCACAACGTGAGAGGACTCAGGGCAGAAGAAACAAGCGTGTTACGGGGCCACTCCTACCAAGGATACCCCCACGTAACACAAGCCGTAGGTCATCCGTAGTACGTACTGTGGTAGATCTCAATCGGCGCCAGAGTGAAAGAGGGGGTGCGGCCTTGTGCAGGGGCATTTATAGAGGAAGGTGGCTGGTGATTGGAGCAAATTATTTTGATCTCTCTGGCGTGTGACCTGGGGGTCACGAGTGATATCCCACTAGCGAAGTCCTAAGGGACTACGCACCATGACGTAGAAGTGTTTTACTGGTTCTCCCTTTAACCTGGTTTTAAATATTGTCAGAGAGGAGCTGTCACTTTAGCTGTGCTACAACTGAGGTATTTTATATTTATCTTTGTTAATGTACTGTGATTATTTATTTTAATGCTTTCTTATTTTGCTCAGCACTTCGAGTTGCCTTGTGTATGAATTGTGCTAGACAAATAAACTTGCCTTACCATCGTACTTCCTGGTTGTGGTCAGGACTTGAGCTGCTGCATTTTGAATGTACTGCAGCTGTTTTACAGCCTGTTTGGACAGACCTGTGAGCAGGCCATTGCAGTAGTCTAACCTACTGGAGACAAATGCATGGATAAGAATCTCCAGGTCTGCTTTAGACACTATGTTTTTGATCCTGGCAATGTTTAGATGGGAAAAAGGATTTGATTTGGCTAATAATATTTACTGATTCTTTCAGCCGCTGGAATCGAGACCGAGTGTGCTAGAAAGTGACAAAGTGGAACTCTGGAAGTCCGCCACGGTAGACCTAATGTCCAATGAAGAAGAAGGCGTTGTGGACAGTGTCTCTGGATGGATTGTGCGGTCGCAGTCTTTTCGAAAGCCGGAGTTTTCTGAACTCTGTCAAGCTGCAGTCCTGGTTAGAGGCGGCGCGGAAGTACAGAGCCACGCACATTAAGCGTCTATCTAGAACCCTGCCAAATTACAACCCCGAGGAGGCTATTGGACAGTTCAGAGTTGTAATTTTTTAATTACCTATGTGTGAGCATAAAGCTGTGTGTGTGTGTGTGTGTTTTAATAAAGCTTTCTTTGTATGAACATATTCCTGGAAAATTTTCATTTCTTCTATAAATAATACGAATATTTATATAAATATTATTACATTAATTATGAGGCAGGGTGACCAATAGTGACAGATCTGCCAGCCAATCACGAGAGATAATACTTATTTGAAAGTAGTGATTTCATCCAATGGGGAGTAAGCTACCAATCGGGAGTAATCCCACGTGGGCTGGCCACGTGTGATTTTTCAGCCAATCACGAGTTTGAAAGTAGTGGTATCCACCAATGCTGAATAGCAGCCTGGCCAGCCGCTGCATTCATATGCAAAGTAGGGACATTAGCATGGTACGGATACGGCAGTTTGGAGGACAGGGCACCCTAACTGCGCCTTCTGAAAACTGCCTGAGATACCCGAAAAAGAGCGTGATTTCCTGCAGTTTAGGGTGACGAAAATCTAACTTTTCATGCAGTGAAAGGAGCCATCTGTCCATTAGGAGCAGGATGACCACTGTCCCTGAATGTTAATACATGTATTTAAATGTCCTGGATCATCACTCTCATTAGACCCTCCTACATCAGCAAAGAAAAAACAGGGGGAAAAGAAACCCTGGAGACGCCCATGATGCGAGCGGGATAAGCTGAGGGTGTAGATTCAGGTCTCAGACTGTAGAACAAGGACTGAAACTGTGCGGAGAAAGAATGTGACTGAAAATATTTGAAAAATCTGTCTAAAGCTTGTGTTGCGTGTCCTCATTCTCTCATTCTGAATAGTTTCATAATGTCCTTTCTCTGCATATGGAGTCTAAAAAGTTTCTTAAAAATGTTGAGCCATCAAAACTCAACTAACCAAGTTTGAAATGTTGTTATTATATTTTTTTTCTCAACACAAATGAGCCATAAAGTCTCAACCAGCTGCTCAACTATTCCTGGTGCCAATTACCGACTCGCACCTTTCATAGACACCATGCGTTATTTGAAATACTTGAGCAGCTCCTAATTAATCTTCCCGGACATTTTAATTGCAGTAAACGACAGCGGCCTATCACTCTAAGCTCCCCTTAATAAGTATTTAACTGGACCTCGCTCGTTCAGTCAGTCACAGGCCGATTGTAATGGAGCCACAGGAAAAGGCGGCCATTAGGATTCATACGTTATCTTCATGTTGACACAATGACGAGTGACGCTGTATTCAGAGCCTGTCAGGTGGAATGTGAAGCCTGCGTGTGTGGAGAGGTTTTGACGGGGAAAATCTTCTCAATGAGAGTCGGAAAAACGTACTCATATTGCTGAGTGTGGTGGTGGTGGTGACAGCTTTAACTATGCATAATGCAGAAGATATGGAAAGAGCAGCTTGGGTAAAGGAATAATGTGAATGACCTGAATGTTAATATAATAATTGCAAACAAATATTAAAGTCAGGGTACTAGTCAGGGTTCAAACCACAAAGAAATACAACGTGGAAATGAACTAAAAATGTATGGGGCATTACTTCTATCCTCTATGTGCTTCTCTGGTACGCTCCCTGACAGTACAAAGATATGTATATAGAGGGACTAAAATATGCAAACCATTAATCATATATTCGGAGTGGACTGACAGAGTGGTGACGTTACCGTAGTGTCTGACTTCATGGGGAAGAAGCCGGTTTGATCATAAGCTAGCGGGATTATATGGGCATTTGTTCCGCTTTATAGCCTCATGCCATAACAGGAAGTGATGTGATGCCAAGATGGTCGCCGAGGCAAACTCGAGTTTCCCTGCATCTGATTGGTCAGTCCTTATGATACAGGCTTATTTGGCTCACATCTGGATTTACAAAGACAATATCAAAGTATGACCTCCGGGATCACAGAGAGCGTTAAACCATAGATGTTTTCAAGCCCAACATGGTGAGTGTGACATAAACGGTTACTGAGCGACACGGTGGCTTTCTCACTTCTCAGCAAGAAGGTCCTGGGTTCAAATCTCGGTCAGAACAGGGCGTTTCTGAGTGGAGTTTATGTTCTTCCCGTGTCCACGGAGATTTTCTCCTGGTGCTCCGGTGTCCTTTACCACTAAAATATGCACAATAGCCCAGTGTGCCCGGCACCTTGCTTCCACCATCACCGTGTAAAAGAAGAGAATGAACTAATAACTGAACTCTAAACATTGTAAAGCGCTTTTGGTGACCTCGGCCTGTAAATATGTTTTATATAAATAAAGATGACTTAGTACTTACTGAGCTAGATATTTGACTTTTAAAAACCAAGGAGAAAGACACCTCGTGCTTTTGTAAAATGTGTACGTAACAATGTAAAATGTGTTTTACGTTGTGTAAAATGTGTTAAAAGCCCTTCTAGGGACATACATTGCAAATTAGCTTTAGCTACAAATGTTGTAATGTTCCACATGTTTATTGTGTTTACTTTTCCCTATCAAATAAATAAATAGATACATAAATAAATAAGACAGCCCCACGACATGGGCACATACTGACGTGGCTCTGTGTTCTGACTCACTGAGTTTGCTCATGCAGCTGCGGAGCCGGTTCTCCAGACTCAGGACTCTCTGCTGCAGCTCGTCGTACTCGTAGGCGCCCATCTCCTCCTGGATGCCCATCAGGACCTCGGACAGGTTCCGGATCTCCTCTTTGAACTGAGCGATGAGTTTTGTGTCCGTCTTGTACTGCTCCAGCACTGGGATCAGGGGCTGCAGGGACTCCATCTTCCCCTTCAGCTCCTGGAGAGACAAACACATACACGCCACATAAATGTTTCACTGCAGATGGAAAAGTCGATTTCGACTTTTAGCTATTTATGAAGCAAGTAGCGCTTTAATATTAGAGAATGTTTTGTGACAGAAATCAGACTACATTTTTAATGCATCGTACATACATTCATGTACATCCACATTCATATACATCCACAGCTGTTATCAACCCCTAACTACACCAACCTCTAAAACATTGCCTTCAAAATATGATGACATTTCTAACTGAATCTGTCTGAGTACAAACAGTTCTGGACAGTGTTTTAGCCTCAAATAACTGATTTTCTGTAATTATAAGTAGAACAGCGCTCTACACAGAGAAAGATCAAACTCCAAAGTCTAATATAATGGAGAGATTAGCTGGTGTCTGTCTAATGACCACATTTTGGGTTTTAAAAATTCTCTTTTCACAGATTTAGGGACCTGTGATAAAGTCAAATTGTGAGTTCTGAGTTATTTTTCTTTAAGCCATAAAACTATTTTATTTAGTACTGTGTTTGTAATGCACTCCGGCTTGCCCTGATGTCTAATGTTGATGAACAAAATATTATGTTAGTTAGGATAAAAATTGATAAATGCAACATTGAAACTTCTACATGACACTGACAGTGTTATGAAAGCAGGATAATGCCAGTATAGAAATAGGCCTTCAAAATGTCATCAATAAATAAAGAAAGAGTAAAAATATCTCCAATATTGCAAATAAAGATGTACAGACGATACATTTTACATCATGTCAAACATTTACTGCCTAGAAATGATGTGAGTTATCCTAGAACCCCAGGGATCCATACTGATCAATCTAAATCAACCAAAAAAGACTTTATTAGAAGAATTTAACTTAACTTCAAATTAGACCTACTTATTTCATGTTTCAAGCCTACCTTTTCCCACTGTTTCTTTTTTTTAATGGTTCTAAGGACAGGATGATCCGGGACATTTATGGAGAATTATTAAAAATTATGGACATTGGTAATCCCGCTCCTCCTTCTTGTGTATGAAATGTTTTATTCTCTGTTGTTGGCAAAATGACAAATTTGTAAAGTCCACCGAGGCGACTGCTGTGATTTAGGGCTCTACAAAAATACATAGAATTGAAATGATTTTAAACCTGAAAGTTGCGATTGACCAGCGTCTTCTTCTCGGGCTCGATCTGCCGCAACTTGGAGCGCAGGCCTTTGATCTGGCTCTCCATCTTCATGATGTACTGGAAGTCCCTCTGTGTGCGCAGGTTCAGCACCTCGATGGACTGGGACATGTTCTGCACCTTTTCACACAAACAAACAGCGGCATCGATTTTGTGTCGACGCTCAGATTGAAACGTCCTCGCCACTCAGAGGGTCAGCAGAGAGTCTTTGATTTCACCGATTTCAAGACCGACATGGTGCCCTCCGACATCAGTGCGTAAGCTGCATATGTGTTTGTGTGTGTGCGTGTGTGACAAGTACAAAAACACATACAGCTTTACTTGAGAACATTTAATCCCTCTTTTCCCCACAGACGACATACCCACCACACACCACCGCACTATTCTTGAAGTATATCTGTCCTCCTTCACCTTGGTGACACTGAAAAACCCCTATGTGTTTGTTATATACTGTATGCATTTGGATGTGGTTTGATTCTTTGATTTGGTGATGGTGAATTGAAAACTTTATAAAGTCCTCTGAGACTACTGCTGTTGTTGAATTGAATTGAATTGAAAAACATTTGTTCAAACATAAAGCTGGCTAATAACAGTGCTTCCTAAAGGTTGTCCACCCTACAAACACTTCAGATTCATAAAGCATTTGCTGAAAATAACACCCTTAAAGCAGTATTGTCTTAAAAAACCTTTCTGATAGATATTTTGACTTGTACCACAGAATAAATTGTGTTTTTTAGACAGAATTTTACCACAGAAGGGGTTGATGTATCTGCTGTTCATTTCTGGAACTATCAGAGATTTCCCCAAACCTGTTCATATGTTCACAAAAAATAATAACAGAAAATACTAAAACACAAATACATTTTTCTTTTACATTTTCTTTAAAGGAAAGGTCTCTAGAATTGATCTGAAATTCTATCTATTTTGTCTCCGAACAAGATTTTTAAAGGCACATCCTGCTTCACCACCCTTTCCTTGTTGCATATATTCAAACTGCTTACTAAAAATAAATTGCCCATGTTAAGTATAGGTTTATGGGGCAAAAGCTTCCCACCACAGATATAGAGCTTTACTGTGGCTCTAGCATGAGACCAGCTCTTTGTATCGTATTGTGCGTGGTGCTTTGGCAGCAGATCCTGGAATGGTCCGATGGAAGCCTCCGGCCGCTGGGTACATTAGCGTCAGCGAGAGGTTGAATGACAGAGAACAGCCCAGAGCAAACAGCGCTAAATGTGCTTGTGATGGGACGGGCTAATAGAACAGGACTGCCCACGTGCTCCGCTGTTTGTTTGTGGATTTGGAAGGAAATAAATTAGATCTGTCAGAGGCAAATGAAATAAAATGTGCAGAGAAAATTGGATGTTTGTTTTCTTAATCCAATGTTTCAGCTGTTTAAGTTTTGAGGCGATTTTATGATGGGAGAAAGAAAATCAATTCTTGGCTCTCGGATAAAAGCTATATCATGGAGGATGGTGATTTTGATAAGACTGTAATTCAATGGCAAGTTGAGTGTTTGCCAACTCACTGGAGGCTTTTCAGTTCCAATATGACAAATGAAGTATTGCTGAGCCCGTGGGCAAGACAGCATACATACTGTAGTTTGGCACAGTTTTATGAGGATTTCTATAGTTGGAAGAGCTTTTCATAAAAAGGGGAGATGTGGCAAATGTGTGCTGTGATCAGGTGAAACTTATCTTTTTCATGATGGTGTCTGCAGTTAAACTGTCGGTGTGACAACAGGCAGGACGCTTCACTTACATTGCCTGGAATGTTAATGAACAGTTGGTGGTGGTCAGAGGGGCTGATGGCACAATTTGGGTGCCTCGCTTCTGTCAGTCTGCTCCAGGGCAGCTGTGGCTACACTAGTAGCTTATCATCACCTTGAACGGAGTGAATTAATAATACCATGTGAAGTGTAGATCAAACCAATACATTCTCATTTTTATTACTAGATATAAACACGGTTTGGACTTAAATCTAATATGGGTTTTAGTCTTATATTGAATGTATTTTCCATTAAATTGTATTCCCATGTTGATGTGGTGCATGTACAAATGAGAAAGCATGCCATCCACTTTCTGATCCTATATACACTACACTACACAACAACTAGAAAGGTTCAATTTTATTATGACACATCCCTTCAATAGAGACAGTATGGATACTTGCCTTGGCCCACTTTTTGCTGGGAAAATGCAATTTCACTGCACAGATGCATGGCTAACTCAAGAGGGGAGAAGAACATCTGTTGTTATATGTTTTATGTCTCATTTTATGGGGAGAATACATTGTGTAGAAGATAAACCAAATGTCCCTCTATAGGATTCAAATTATTTGCGTCCAATCAAGCACCTGTGGGGGCGGGTCTAACTGCTGCTTGCATTGGAAAAACGTAACTGGCTTTCACTTCAAGAGTTTCCAAAACTTAAAATCACGTTTCTTTTGCATTACAAATCTCTAGCTCAAAAACTGGCAGGAAAAGGCAACGTAAACAAAATCCTGGCGATGACTGACGTAAAAGCTGATGGTTCCTTGATAGACATCCTTGAAACCGATTCAATGTAATATATTCATGATGACAACTATTCAAATCAACTTGTTTTTGAAAATTGTCTTGTTTGCAGCATTTAAGAGCGAATGGCAGCTTTCTCATCTCCTCAAGCTTGTCATTTGGAGTCATTTATGCTGAAGTATGAAATGGGGTTATGGACAGGGCTGAAGCAATCTCCCCGGAGATTAAGAAGACAAAGACACATGAATAAAGATTTGAATCAACGGCTATTTATGAATTCTCGGGTGACACATTCTGGCTGTGTACGGAATACAGGTTTTGTCATGTAAACTAATGTAGTGTGGTAAGTAAGTAAGTTAGTAAGTTTTTATTTATATACCGCCTTTTCACTGCAGATCTGAGTCTCAAAGCGGTTTACAATTGTTAATTATTGGGCATTTGTCTCTCACTCCACACAGAGATGGGAGCGGGGTCGCCAGTACAGGAAGCGCATGCCAGACCTATTGGACATATTTTTAGTGGTAGGGGAAACCGGAGTACCCGGAGGAAACCTACGCAGACACGGGGAGAACATGCAAACTCCACTCAGAAAGGCCCTGGTCCGACCGGGATTCGAACCCAGGACCTTCTTGCTGAGAGGCAAGAGTGCTATCCACTCAGCCACCGTGCCCCACCGTGGTCAGCAGATGCACTTACAATCGCTAAGAAGAAACTGCTGCGATAGAAGTGGCGTTGGCGCTGGGATACAACTATGATCCATTGGTTTGTTGGCACCTTTACATAGCAATATATAGTTTTGTGACTGTTTTTGGTTCTGGTATTAGTTTGGGTCTGGTCTTGGGTCAAGTTTTGGTCTGGTCTTGGGTCTGTTCTTGGGTTTATTCTTGTGTCTTGGGGATGACCTTCTGCCTGGTACTATACCAGGGCTGCTTTTTGGCTCAGGTTCTGGGCTTGAGTCCGGTTTTAGTCCAGGTCTGGTCAATGTATATTGTGTAGGTCGGTGTTTTTCAACCATTGTGCCGCGGCACACTAGTCTGCCGTATAATATTGTCTGGTGTGCCGTGGGAAATTTGCCCACTTTGTCTAAAAATAAATTCTTCCGCAAATAATGTGCCGTTGGAGAGTGTCGACTTGTTTTGATGGCAGCAGAAAGGTTATTACTTTGAGGCTAAGAATTGGAGGCCACCACAGGATGTAACAGGTAGTCGGGACAGAGGATGGATCGCATTGTGGCGAGTGAGAAGTGAAAGTGATGGAGACGTTTTAGAAAAGGAAATATTCCACTTTCGAACTGGACCGTGGACTAAAGACTTTGTAAGCAGAGTGAAGGAGAGAAACCCAGCTGTGATTGTTTCACACTGTTATTTGTTTTTACTCAGACAGAGGCCCTTGTAGCAAAGACGTTTCCTGCTGACCTTGTTCCTGTGTTGGATGATTTTGTGCACATGAAAAACTTTATAAAGTCACAACCCATGAAAAGGCGCATATTTGCGCCTTTGTGTGAGGCAATGGGAGCGGAGTGAGTAGAACTATAGGAATACAAAATAATACTTTTTCATTGTGATATTTCTCACTTTGATGAAAAATACTTTGTGTTGTGAAAAGAGGCTACGGAGTATATTTTTACATTTCTCCAGGTAGTGTGCCGCGATATTTTGTGTGCCTTGCCTCAAAAAAGGTTGAAAAACACTGGTGTAGGTGTACGTGTAATACAACCTCCAATGCAAGGGATTGTAATAGACGCATTTGATGCTTGAAAGAGATCCTGCAGTTTTTTCACTATTGCCCAATTCTGTGGAGGCTCAGAGGCCCCGGACCACCCTTTGGTAAGCACTGGTCTACGCATTACTGATCAAGCCCATTGTTTATTTCCCACAATGTACCTATACAGGTGATCTGAAACAATCCGGGATCGAAGTCAACCTTGTTTGCCCAGGATCAAAGTTATAACCAATCAAGTGTCTAGGATTATGCTATTGACTCCAGTCACTTTGACATTGATCTGGGACTCTTAATTACTTGGTGACATGAGAACATAAGTACCTTTACCATGTCTGAGCTTGAATGGTTGATGTTTGTGTCAGGACAATGTTATTTGTTAATTGGTTTCTCCGTGGTTTCATTTTTAGTTTTACTTCCTGTCCTGTTCCCGTGTTTGATTGTCTGCCTATGCCTAATGTGTGTCACCTGTGTCTGTCTCTATACAGTATGTCCTGTACCTGTGCTCACCCTCATGTGTTGCTGGTCCAATGTCTTTGTCCGTGAATGTTACTCTGTTTTCCTGCTTCCTGTATAGGATAATTGAGTTTGGTTTTTTGTTGAACTTCTGTTTATTTTTCATTTGCCATTCTTTCATTTTGGGTTTTGAGTAAGTAAAGAAAAAAAAAAACACAAACACTGTATTCTGCTTGCCACCTGCTCGTCCACAGCTGCTCCAAAGACCACATCACCCCCATCCTCAGACAACTTCACTTGCTCCCTGTCCCATACTACATACTGGTCCTCCTCATCAGTCCCTTCATGACCTGGCTCCCTCAAATCTCACCAAACTCCTCCATCAGAACTGTCATCCCCACCGCCTTAGATCCGCCGACTCCAGCCTCCTCCCTCCCATCAGATGCTTTCAAAGACGTCTCGTAAGCTTGCCCAAAACTTTGGAACATGCATTTAGTATAAGCAGGGGTGCACATAACTTTTTTCAGTGAGGTACTCAGATGAGTACCAGGAGATGGTGTTTGGTACTCACTCCATTTGTCGCGTGGTTCTTAATCGAGATTATATACTTGCTTCTTTTTAATGCTAAAACTTAGATCAGCTCAGATAATCCACTCAATCCAAGTCAAATAATGACTAACAGGGATCTTTCTTAAAAATGCAAAAAAAAAAGTGATTTGTTCACAACATTATACTTATGGGCACAACCAACATCATTATGCATTATTAATGCAAGGGAAAAGGTAGCTACCACAGCTTTAAAGTGATAGTCTGGAACTCTAAATGAATTACAAATGTTAAGAATTATATTAAATTGACCTCCTGGCCTTAAATGTTGATATAAAATAAGTCATTTTATTAATTCTAATATTAGATTCAGATTCAGATTAAGTTTATTTGCCATTTGCAGTAAAAAAAACCACATTGGAATACATTAGCAAAAGTCTCCAGTGTGCACAGACAAATACAGACATAAAACAACATTAAAAGACAAAAATAAAACAAAGAAAACAGTAAACAAATGTCAGTGTGAAATCGATCGACTAAAACAGTTTCAAAACAAGTGCAAATCATTAAAGTGCTCTGTTCACACTGATAACAGCTTGTGGATAAAAACAAGGGTAAGTCCCGCCTTCTCTTCTCTTAGCTATAGCTCAGAATCCACAATGTCAACGTTAACCAACCAAGTGATGCCAAGGGCTGTCAATCATCAGTGCTGATGGGTGCATGCTCAGTTGTTTGTTTTCGCGGAGCCTCCGAATCAAGCCTCTATATGGCTCTGAAACTACATGAAAACTGAACAAAGAATTCTGAACATCCGCGTTGAGTTACCCATTTATATACTGAACCTATATCCATAATCAGATCCTCTGCAGATATGTCCTATAATATTCAATCAATGTTAATAGCTACTTCCGGGTTTACTGCGATCACTTTTTTTGTGCATTAAAACATTATTTTTGCCATAAAAAAAGTTAACAAATAATTCTGAAAACCTCCGTGCATTTGTATTAATAATGTATAAGTATAATGTGTTCTCCCATTAACATTTAAATGTGTTACGGAAACGTAGGCGTAGACCAATCAGAAAGGAAGGGGGAGGATTTTCAAATCCTCTCTTTTTTCTGACAAACTCCAGACAATCACTTTAATTTAGAGACACGGGTAGGACATGGACACTCCCTTAAGGCTCCATAGTCCAGCTCTGTTTCTTGCAGTAACGTGATTTGTATTTATTTTGCCTCCTCGAATATGCCACATGTGCTGAATGCGTGTTACCTTCTCCAGCAGCTGTCGGAGCTGTCTCCCTTTGGCGTCTCTGGAGCACAGACTCTGCTCTGGGGCCACAACTGTACAGATGCAGCGTCTATCAGCGTCCTGGGCCGAGCTGTACACCTGCCAGCCGTCTTTGGGACGCACCGTCTGCCAGCACAAGGGAGGAGGTCAGTATTTAACTCATCACTGCATGTCTGCTGTGAATGAAGCTCATAGAAGATGCACTATAACTATAATGAACCATTTAAAGAAATTGAGGCCTTGAAACTTAAAAAATATAGGAATTCTAAAGCCAATAACAGCACAGAAGACAAATAAAAAAAATAAAAACATATGGAAACATTTGTGGGAAGACAGGTCAGGTTCAAGATTGAGACATTTAAGATTTGACTCAACATTCTCCGAGTTTAATAAAGTCATCTTAAGGCTAAAGGCATCTTAAGAAAGTTGGACATAAAAAGTACAGTAAGATAGACAGAGGTACTCAGAGAGGGTACCAATCCTTTTTGTGTCATAATTAATACAGTGCATTTGTAAATGAAAGTAATGAAAGTGGTCTGATCTGTAATGTTGTAAACAGATCAGACCACAAAAATATACTTTTTGTGTCTTCATCATATAAAGGGCAAGGCAAGTTTAATTGTACAGCACAGTTCATATACACATGAACTCAACAAAAGAACTTAACAAAACAAGATAAAGTCCTGACTCTGGACACCAGCAGGAGGCCAGTCCCTGTGCTCCCCAGAGTCCCAGTTAGTTCACCCCGCAGCACTAATATATATATATATATATATATATATATATATATATATATAGTGTAATGTATTATATTTCAAATATATGATATTTTTACACTTGGACTTTGTTGAACAAAAGAAACAATATTTTGTTGCTTAAGCTTATGTATTCAGTCATTTTTCTGGTATGCTAAAAATCCATCAGAATTTTTTTTTCTCAGGTCAAATATTTATAAGTTTTGATTGAGCTTTGTGATGACTGCTGTCGTTGTGTCCTTGGGCAAGACACTTAACCCCACTTTGCCCAAAGCCCCCACTGAAAGATCAAGGCTATGCTCACACTCAGAGAGCAGCCGTCCTCCTGTGGACTCACCACCTGCAGAGGATCAGTGAGGGGCTGGTGCTATGAGACTTGGGTGGCATCTCTGACTGTCACCCCCCTGACCCAGAAATGGATTAAAGGGTAGAAAATGGATGGATGGATGGATTGAGCTTTGTTTTATAAACATTGTTGATTTCGGAGCCAGACTTGCAAAAACTCCCTCCTCTTTCCGCACTCTTTTCCTTCCAAATCTATACTGTACAAACAATCTCCTCTCCCCGTCCTCCTCCTCTGGCCTGGTGTTTTGAAGAAGTGCTCCCCTTGTGTTGTTACTCCTCTCTAAACCGTAAACATGGCTTTGTCCTTGATGTAGCACGCTGTTTCTGCTCACATTTCTGTCCAAGTTGGCATTTGAAGGTCCTGCTGGGAAGCGCTGATAACCCTGATTTGTGTGTCGCTTTCCCCGTTCTTTATTGCATCCAGCACGCCTCGCTGCACCACGGAACAAAAGCCACCAACAAACAGGAGCAATGCAAGTGCAGGCAGTGAAGGAATGTGCATCTTGTGCCGAGTATTATGCATGTAATTACATTTTGTAGTAATGGATCTCAGCGAGTATGGTGGTTTCACCGCAGGAAGTGACACCTGACAGGTGAACTATGAAACTGAGCCTGTTGAAGGGACACACAACAACACACACAAATGATGTCCCACAACTTTTTACCATGCTATTGTTGTTTTCCCTTGTTATTGAAAGACTTGAGTTAGATTTCAGAGTGATTCTTGCATGTTTCTGCCTGATACCAGTTTAGAAACAGCTGTTTATTTTCGTGCATGAAATGTGTGGCTTACGATTATCGCCACCATAATAGTTTGTACGTACTTGTTAATTGTTTCAATTTTACACAAGAAGAAGTAGAAAAGACAAACAATGCTTACATGAAGGGGCTGAACGATTACTGCTGTTTGTGCATGAGGAAAGAGCTTTACATCTCCTGTCGTCATGTTGGAAGCCTGTAAACCACAGGATTTCTTGGATTCCTTGCAAGCACTGGTTTGAGCCCCCTCCCCATCGGTTAAGATCTGTGTGTTCTTCTGAAGAGACTTTTTCCAATTGGGTTTTCTGTGTTGTTCCCGATGCAGGAGAGTCTAATGGCAGTAGGGATTTATGAACATCTGATGATACTTATGGGCATTAGTCATTTCTAGTATTATGCTCTATGTGTTTTTTTCTTGTCACAATTCCTGTGCTTGAACTGTTTGCTTCTCGGATCTGTGTTTACGAATTGACAGCTTTGTAAAGTGCTACAAGATAACTTTGGATAAAGGGATATACTAAAATAATGAAATTGAATTGAAGAAATTCAAGAGGCAGAGGTCTGCATTTGTGTTTCAGCAGAAGATTTTGTTGTCGTTTTTCGCAGCGTAAGTGACGAGGCACAGCGTTCATATGGTTTTATACAAAATCAAAATACAGCAGTTACTCAGCATCTGCCACGTCGCCAATGGATGAGTTTGCTTTGACCTTCAGAAAAAACATCAAGTGGAAAATCACTGACTTCTGTTTTAGTTTCCATAATTGCTCAAAAGTATTTTAAAAGATCTATCCTTATATTATTTCCTGTCTTTTGCACACCCTGACGGGATGCAAAAAATAGCTCCAAATGCTGAATATTTTTTTTTTTCATAACATTTTGTGCTAAACATTTGCTTGCAGTCTTCCTAGCTCATGTCAATTCAAGTCCATTGATTTTTGTACAGCCCTATATCACAACAGCAGTCGTCTCTGAGGGCTTTTGATTCACAAAACAGCGAATCAAACCGTTAAAATACAGAAAATGCAGTCCACTTGCACATTTGAACTGGGTTCCCCGTGACCTGGGCTCATGGGCTTCCTGCAGGCCGCCTTAGGGCTGCACCCCACAGCCTCAGTCCTCGTTCTGCAGCCCGAGTACTGGATTAGTACCCTGTCTGTCCGTGTGAGTCATCCCTCTCTCAATATGGACCTCCCCGAGGGTTTTTGTTGCAGATCTAGGAGGGACTAAGGGGAGTCATGGTCCAGGACATTGAGCCTCTTCAGGTAGGCGCTGCAGATTTGCAAACACCTAATTATTTATTTCCCAACTAATCCACATCCATATTTTTGACCTTTTTTTTAACCACTGCTGGACATAGTTTTCCACCTGCTCACCAGGGGGCGGAGCTGTCTCACTTCCGAAATGTCAGTCTCCTTGGTTTCACCAATGGCCAATGGCTCCTATGTGTTTGTTATTATTCTATTTCCTAGTAGTTGTAGAAGTAGTGTTTATTTACATAGCCCATTTTTTAAAGACCAAGGTTACCTGTTTTCAAATTGTTCAATTTAGGCCTGCACAAAATACATAAAACCAAATTGAAATTTAATAAATATTAAAATATAAATAATACATGTGCCAAATAATCATTGTCTTTTGACCCTCCTGCATCGGCAAGGAAAAACTCAAAAAAAGCTTGAATAAATTCACTCAATTAATGGATATCTTTACATTGATGGTAAATTTTGTCTAATATTTACTACAGTGAAACATTCCAGTGAAATTTCCATGAACACGCCTGGAATGTGAATTTGTCTGCTCTTCAGCCTTTGGTGCAAACAATCTCACCCAAATGCTTATTGCCCAGAGCATCTATAATGATCCAACAAACTCCTGTGGAAACCAGGGGAACAACACGTTCCACTAGAGACGAGAGGCTCTTCATCAATCATAGGTTTTATACCAGAGAAGAACCCGAGAAACGCGCATTGACGCATTGTGTTGTCACAAAGTACATAAATGATTGCTGTTTCCATCAGCCCCGAAAGTAGCGTGTGATTAATGTATGTTGCCGGCAACACATCAGGACGTCAAAGCCTGACCTAAACCTCCAGACTCTTGTACACACCCCAAAGTGCCATCCGAATCCCCAAAGTGCTCCCCGTCTGCCGCACGCTCTGATCTCCAAGATTTACATCACTCTATCACAACAGTTTTTACTACCACAGTTGACAAACAATGGACCTTACCTGACTGAACTGAAATAATAGGCGTGGACTGGTCCAACTTTATAGCTTCGACACCCAAGGTCTCACAACCTTTACAAATGGCCTTATTCATAACCCCACGTTGTGTACTGCTAGAGGAATACCCTCACCGTGCCCGCCTGTCACGGTAGCTAAATGGTATCATTTGCAGCATTTACCTTTGGCCGCATAATGCCACTTGCACACTACTGTTTCATTGGGGGGGGGGGGGGGGTCTTTCGATTTATTTAGCTGCCCTCATGTTTTGCATCTTTTACCTAATTTTTTCTTTTTTTTTTTTTTTTTTTTTTTTGTTTTTTTTTTTTGGTATTTTTTATTTTTAGCTTTTCCGTCCCACACGGCCTCCAGTCCTCGTTCTACAGCCTGAGTCCTGGAGTCTCTCAATGTAGGCCTCCCTGGGGTCTCTCGCATTTTCCCACTGTTTTAAGATGTTCCTTGCCAATGATCTGTGATGATCCCGGACATTTAAGGGCATTTGCTTTAAAAATATTAATGTTTCAATTTCAGTCAAAATGTATGGTAGAGATAAAGAGTCGATGATCTGAATATATAGGATAGATATAGTCACCAGGCAATGAGACAACACCCTCCCTCTAAACGCCAACAGAGCTTAGAAGCTTCCTGGGTTTGATTCAACCTGTTGCGGTTTCCCCTACCACTAAAACCTGTGCAATAGGTATGAATGTAATGAGTGAGTGAATGGAGGGTGTTGGTCGGGGGCTTTGTTGGGCCAGTGTGTTCCATCAAGAAGAAGTGTTCGTGAAGAGAATGGAAAAACATGTGAACTCTCAACAATTATAAAGGGCTTTGGGTGACCTTGGTCTGTAAAATGCGCTATTTAAACAAATATTACTTACTTACCAGTGTGCTATCCACTCACCGGCCATTCACCGGTTGCCCTATTGGATTGAGATCTGGTGACTTTGGAGGCCATTGCAGTACAGTCAACTTTTTGTCATGTTCAAGAAACCTCTTTGAGTCTGATGATTTGAGCTTTATAAAAAGGTGTTTTATCCTGCTGGAA